CCTCTACTCAAGTGCTGGGGCCTGTTAACTGGTCAGGAGCCTGGTAGTGCAGCAGGTTATGAGTTGTACTGCAAACCACAAGGTCAGCAGTTCAAAACTACCAGCTGCTCCACAGGAGAAAGATAAGGCTTTCTACTCCCATAAACATTTAGTCTTGGAAACCCACAGGGGCAGTTCTAGTCTGTACTATAGGGTTGCGATTAATCAGAGTGAGATTCAATGGCAGTGAGTTTATTAATTAGTCTCTCAAGCCTCTGGTCCTTTAATGAAGTATCCTTTGGGAAGTTTTGGCATGACTTGGCTTAAGGTCTTTCAATGGCTGTCTGTGACCTTTACTATAAAGCCCAAACAGCTTCAAGCTGCAACTTGTCCTGGATGCTGTTATCGGTCTCCAAATGTCAGTTACATCACCTCCTCTAGCTTTGATGGCCCCTCTCTAGGTTAGATGCTCATCGCCATTTCCATAACCTTTGAAGTGCTTACCACATTTTGCAATGACTACTGGACTGCATGATCATCTCCTCCAACCGCAGTCCTTCAATGCAAGGGCTATGTCTTTCATCTCTGGACTCAAGGCACTTGATAGCGCCTAGCCCCTGGGAGGGTCTCCAAGGGCCAGTGACACAGAAATGAACAGAGGGTTCCTGGGCTTGACAGTACAGTGGGTAAAACAGCTCCAAAAAAGCCACAAAAGCTGTGTGACAAATGTACCATCAAAATGCCATGCAAACTCCTTCCGTTTCTGTCGTTTTATCATCGATTGTATATGGCATGGTCTCAGCTAGTTGTTGCTTGGATTGTGTCCCCAAACACTGTGAGCCTAAGACAGGGGGCTGTTGGCCCAGGACAAAGGCTGTGTTCTACACATCTTTGCAACTGCACTGCTTTACACAGATTTTGACCTATAAAGGTGTGTCCCTGAAGTATGCCCTTCCTGAGGAGCAGGAACTTTGGGGGTTTCATAGTGTTAAGTCCTTCCATGAAGGAAGCCCGGTCCCACTCCCAGACAATGGCATCCCATGTACAGCCTCCAGCCAATCGACAGCAGAGGCTTGTGTGTCACTGGTAAGGTTGAGTAGAGTTTTCTGCACAAGACACATTAAGAAGGCCTGGAATCTACTTCCCCAAATCTGCCAACGAAAAAACCTTTTGGACTACAATGGCCTGATCTACAAGCCATCCTAGGAATGGCCAAGGGCCAGGTAGCATTTCACTCTGCTGCACATGGAGTTACTGGGAGTCAAGGCTGATTCTGTGGCAGCTAACAAGGAGAGGCAAGGAAAGAAATCTAGAGAGCAAATGGACATTATCGTTGAACAAGAAGATCACTTCCTGGAAAGAACGGGAAAGATATTCCGAGCAGACAGCATGGCCAAGGCAAAGTGGCAGTACAGTTTGGGGGGGGCCCCTGATGAACACAGCTGGCTTTAGGATGATCCCCCAGAGTATATTAAAGACCAGGGATATAGTGCCATGTCACACCATCCACTCAGCCATCCTCAAATGTCCCAAGAAATGCACAACAAAGTGACAGACCTATCCTAGGTGTCCTATAAACTAGAGGATTCCTCCTGGCAAGGACAGCTGCATAACCTCACACATCACCTACATGAGGTCAGCGGCTCACAAAATAGGGCACTGTTTCCTTTTCTTCACTTCTGACTAGAGACCACGTGCTAGCCTGCCCCAAATTCAAACTGACCTGGGGATGAGACCACCGTGGTCATCTTCCCTACTCCTGGATTCTTTATAACACAGCAATTTATTTCAGGAATTATCATCTGATTATTCAGCAGGGTTCAATAAAATTAGATATTAAAAAATATAGATCTCAGGAGAAGGGAAAAACATCAGACCTAGTAACTTCATAAAACGGAATTGCAGTTGACAACGGTTCTGGGGAATATTCCATGTCAAATGGAGCAGGCTTTTGGAGCTGAAAAAAGCACCGTGAACTCTGGTCCTTTGTTGTTGAGCCAAACCCTTTCAAATTCACAGAATGCAATGATTGAAATCACAAGACTTCATTTTGGTTTGTATTTTTAATTTATAGAAACGTGCCTGAGGGGGCTCACACATGCCAGATACACTCTTAGCAGCTGAATCCTCACGTGCCGATAGTTCACTTTGTCCTGTTTGGCATGCAGGGGTGGGGAGGGGTGTCTTCGCATGCTCCGTCTGTTCTATAGGAAGAGTGAAAGTGGGCTTCATGTCTTCCGTGTCCATCGATGTTGCACTGTTCGGCCTTCTAGAAAGAAAACGGATGCATCCTGCTGTTTATTTTAATAAGCTAAGATCGGAGGGTGAAAATGTCAAAAGCACAGAAGAGTGGAACTAGCAGACTCTGGTTCTGTGTTGTCTGAAACTTTAACTAAGGGACTTCAGACTAGAATATTCCTTGCAATTATGTGTACATGTGCATTTGCAGCCCACTATAAAGAATTCTTTCCATCGAGAACAGGGGAGAAAAGGTGAAGATGTCATGAATGTTGAGTTGAGGAACACCCCACTAGGGAAGGGATGCCTAAAGACAGTCCCAAGTGTGGGGAAAGATCTTCGTAACAAGCAAGCCAGACAAGGTTTCAAAGAACGTCTGGGAACATCAAATAGCTCTTTGTCTTGCGGTAAGAAGGAGTGTTGAAAAAAGTCTACCATGATTGTTGGCCTGGTTCTAACTCCTTTCTCACCAAATTTCAGATATATTGATATTGGCATTGTCTCCCAAAAATGCCAAGTCTGCTTATTCAAGGAGGCTTCAAAAAGCTAATGGGAAAATGAAATTAAGACAGTGGAATTTCCCCAGTCATTTTTGAAGGCCCTTGTATAATTTACACACACACACACACACACACAGCAATAATTAACTTTTATGTAGTCCTTCTAGTTAGCCTTTGTAATGCCCCCACCCAAATGATGGACTATGCAGATGACGCACTTGTGCCCACACCCCACTCCC